AGCGAACACGAACAACGGTTACCCAGGCGAGTCTTGCAGAATTTCATGATATCCGCACATACGGCACAGTCTTTGAAAACCTGACACTTCTCTGCGCAAGGTATCATTCCGCGAACGCAGAAAAGCTTTCCGCCTCATCCAGCAAGGGTTCGCCGTGGTCGTCCAACAACGGCAATGTCCAGTGGATGTCCATGCAGAACTCGCCTTTCCCGGTGATGGCCGCGCCGATGCGCATGCTGAGAATCTTCTGCTGGCCCGGCACACGTCGCACCATGCAGTCGTTGTTCTACAGTGCCTACTTTAAGCTGGGCATTGAAGATGAAGCCGTGGATTGAAGATCTGTACCGTGGAGCGTCCTCCGAAGAAGTGGAAAAACAGTGCAATGCGCATGACGCTGGTTCGCGCTGCTGCCCTGGCGGGATCGCAGCATTCGTCTGAACCTTTTACATCGACCTGTCTGGGCGTGGATACAAATAAACCGTACGTGCTCACCTTGAAGATTGTCCCCGTGGATCCGTATCGTTTCCTGGCTTTTTTGACGGGCGCCTGTCTGCTGTTCTTTGCGCGACGAATGAGCCGCAATACATTTTTCATTATTCTTCCGGGATCAGTATTGCCTTGGTAGGTTCATTGTTGCTGGCGGTGTTTTTAATCAGCCGGATGATTCCGCGGAAAGCGGCGGGGATCTCGTTTCTGGTTGGTGATTTATTTTCTCTAGACGTTGTGGAAGAATTTTCGGGAGACAATTTACGATCATCGCAATTATGTCGTGGCATACATTATCATCGTCTCAACCATCACCTTCATGCTCATTTATCGCTTCGGCGGGATTCGCAGTCCGGAGACAATGAATTGAATATTATGCAGTGGAAGTTGCAGATTGTGGGCGCGTTGATTATGTACTTCAGCGTGACGACTGAACCGATCGGCATGGCGTTGATTTGCGCCGCCGCCGCGTTTGATATGGTCATCCACAGTGGGTGTAATTTCCGGAGATTTAAAATTATTAATAAACTCTTTCCGCCGCGACCGCGCAAACTGCTGTCACCCGATGAGTTGGAAGAGGTGGGACGACGGGAGACAGCCAAAGAATTAAAGAAGCTGCGGGAGTATGCCAATAGTCCCGAGTAAGTCATGGTCATTGGTAAAGCGACTGAGCAGTCCGTCGCGGTTCGGTTCGTTTGTGGAAGACGGTACGCATCTTTCGCTAGATGAGGTGGACACGTATGAGCGGGAAGTGTCGTGCAGTGGATCTGACGATGAGGACGAACCACCGGCGTCGGCGCCCGTGCAGCTGCGCTTCTCCTCATCGGCCAGCTCGCATTGGCGGTCACATCGGAATAGTCCGCTGCGATCGGCGCACTCGCCGCCGTGGAATCGACATGGGAGCCGGAACGGGAATGGAGTCGATGATTTGATGGCTCATAATTTATGAGTAGCACCAGCGTGTCGTAACTGTTTTTGCATTTCGAGGTACGAAATTGTGATTGTGTTCTATCTTGGCAAAACTTTTTTCTCAGTATTCTCTTTAAATGTTCCCCGCAAATGCGCAGACGAAATTGAACTCGTATTATGTTAAAGGGCAGTTTGAAATCGTAGCACACTTTTTCGCTGTTGAATTGCTTTGCCTTTGCTTTGCCTTTGCTTTTTCGCTGTTGAATTGCTTATATGAAGATGCAGACGAAAAGAACACAGAACAAGTTTGGAAATTGGTTAGTGCTTACACAGTAGCAGTTGAAAACCTCAAAGTGATTACCCTTTTGAGCTTAAGAAAGCCGCTAGCCCAAGAGAGGGATCTCTTATTGGTTGTTCATTAAAATCCGAACGATCCAAACTGTAGATCATGTCGGTGGGATCAAGAATGAAATCTTCCGGTGGATTGCAAATAACAAAACGCTTCGCTGCTCTCGAGCTGTCATCTGCCGGGTCCACCTTCCGGTAGACACCCAGACATAATCAGCTAAATGTTACCAGTGCATCGATAAATAAACCGCCATACGCCGACTCCTATGATCAAACAAGCGAATTCATGAAATTAAGATAATTTTATTTCTGGGCGATGTCACTGATGCAGTCGTATTCTTACCGCATGCACCGATACGGCCCGGAAGAAATTGAAAACTGGTTTACTATAACTTAATTTTTCACCATTGCGGGTTTGGAAATATTGGCGCCGTCGATCATACCTATAGATAAAACGATTATAACAGTAATACACCCCGTATGGACATAAACATGCGAGAAAAAACAAAAAGACGGTATTTGCATCAAAAATTTACCGGCTCCTCGGCAAGAATTTTTCCAGTTCCAGCGATGCCCCACCGAAAATCATGGTGCGGAAGACGTTGACGATAACAGGGTTAAAAAATGGCTTTATCATCAATAAATCCAGCAGAATGCCAGAAAAGCACCGTCCGCAAGCATAAGGCTGTGTCATGTAAAACTCCGTCCCGGAAGGTCATCGTCATCCTCATCCAGAAACTGCGCATTGGTATCCCGCACTAGTAAAAACGTATATTTTTCGGCCACGGGCATTGGAAATGACAGGATCAAGCAAATTTTAATGTAAAAAAAACAAAAGAAAAGCCAAAAGATAATGAAATACAGGAGTCACTGAAATTTGGAAGTTTCTGAGGAAGCGTTTACTAGATTAAAAGTACTGTACAAACGAGTACAGTTTACAGTAGTTTAATTACCTACGCACCACGTAGTCTAGTTTAATGCTCTGGTACCATTAAAGAAAACGCTAGAAACTTAGAGAAGCCTCTCTGATAGAAAAAGCAACACAGATCTTAAAAAGATTGATTAAAAATACATTGCAGATAGATACATATTTAAAGAGCATCGATTCTGAATCTCCGACAGGAACGACTTCCGCTTTGTTGTTCAATAAAATCAGCGGAAGCCCTTCATTGGCTTCGTTTGACATAGTTGTTTTATTTGTACAGATCTGATGACAATTATTCGGTCCACTTGTAATGACTGTACCTACATAGGTACCTTTGTTCAGTAAAGGGGCTTCTGTTTATGCGCGATGCGGCTCGTTCAACAGGAGTCGTTACTACAGACCCGTCGTTGCGTCCTTTCGACTGTTTAAAAATTTTGTGCACCTACGGACCGACTTCCCTAAACTCTTCTCTTCCCATTAGCCGGCCAACAAATAATATGTCAAACGAACCCGAAACTTTAATAATCTACTATTTGGCATATCAGCCTGACACAGTAATATTATAATCGGCAGTACAGATAGGACTACTCACGAATATCGGTTATAAGCGGCACTTCATAACCAGTTTGCCGGGCTCGCGTCTTCAGTGAAATTCTTTGTTGGTACATGCTTTCGCCTTCCCTCGCGGCTGTAAATCAGAAAAGACAGATATTATGACACTTTCTTGTCGCCAATGTTTCTTAAAAAACAGAAGCTGTTCAGTATTATTTACGATTTGCGGCCTCTTCTTCGGAAAATCTCATGGCGCGCACATTGAGAGTAGCCAGAATTACCGATGAGCGTTTATCGATGAGCGCATTATCGACATTCTGCATTTGAGCACCGGAACTCGGTGAACCGATAATCACGCACATTTTACATGTGTTCAGTGTGACCGAACGCAGGTCAGCTCGATTTAAAGCGGTGCCCTACGAAAGAATTGTTCAAGTAGTTGTAATACCAAAAAAATTAACGATATCATATTCTAACAAGGACTAAATGTCAATGCTTGTATAAGAGTGAAACATGCCATACTCCAAGTCTCCAAACACCGTAGTTACAGAGTATGTTAACACAGTTTACTTTGCTGCCATCAGTTAATGCCGAAAAAATTCTTTTTACGAAAAATATACTACAGTATATCTTCGGAGTATAACCGCGCGTAGCGCAACTTACTCTAACGACATGTATTCGAGGCAAATTCGGAAGATATGTCCATTCCTACAATAAAATTCACCGATTCTGCTAAATGGACGAGGATAACGACAGAAGAAAAGTCGAAGCACCTTCTTCATAAAACTGTGGTCACTCAAAATGACAACATCGCGCAGCTCCGTGGCTTCACAACACTGGACCGTAGAAGTGGAATAAAACTGTGCAAACCAACGATTTGAGATCCCGGTTGCGATAAAATGCAAAAACGATGTGCCCGCTGAATTCGGCCTTGGCAGCTTGTTGTCGCGTTGCTTAAAAATAACAGTCCCGTTCGGATACGGAGTGGAAGCAAGTGCGTGCAGTGCTTACACAGTACGTACTTAATACTGAGAAATCCCTGCTAAATGCTAACTATACCACCGCTTAAAATACAGTTTCTCCCGATCGATTTTATTCATTACAGTGTTTGTGTATTTGTGCATTGTTGTAAAAGGTTGTGCGAATCAGTTCCGTAGAAAGCACTAATTTGACAACTAAAAATGCGATAGGTTACTTTTCGGTTGTCTACATATTTAACTGTTTTAACCGGTGGTGCCACTGTATATATGCAATTCAAATCATTAGAAGATTACAGTAACTTTTAAATGATGTGACTAAAGATAATAGTCATCGACTGCGCATAGAAGTATTCTGGATAGCGTCATACGTACTCCGGCTTTACAACCGTGCTTTACAAACCAACGAATAGGTTAAATTCACGATCGTAGTGATAGCAGATCTTACCGTTTCCGAAACAGTTCTGTCATCGAGATTTCGGGTCTTCACCAAGTTCTTACGCAATGCACGCTTGCATTTAATTCGATTTTCATGTAACACTAACGCTACTCATATCAGAAAAACGGTGAAAGAAGGTTCATTCACAACTCGGATGAAAAAAATTATTAATGCTGGTTAATCAACCAGAAGACGTATTCATTACAGGCGATACATTCTAATAAAAGCACTAAACACATAAATATTCCTCCGACAGCAGAAATAAATTACGCATAAAATCAAACGCTTGACAATCAAAAACTGAAGTAATTAAGACAACTTAAATTATCTCTTCTCAATAAAAGGAAAAAATGGTTACAAAATACTAATAGCCCCGCGTCATGATGTGCTTGAAGATGCAGGCGTACAGGAGAGGAACCATGCGGAAGCTAAACCACCAGGAAGCTTCTAGCGGAGTGGACGCGCGTGCCCGCTTGTATTTGCGATGTGGGCGCATCTCATATCGACGGCGCGTAAGCCCTCTCTTCATGCTAAGAATAAAGGAAATGTAAACAAAAAATATATTGCAATGTTTAATTAGATTAACGATCTCGTACGTTTTATCCCAGCCGTGTACGCTTTGGTAAGTGTACCCATTTAGCGGCTCGAATTCGCGAAACGCCAGCTACAAACACAAACACAATTAACTGGTGATTTCATGGAGCAGCCGGTGGGACAAGAAAAGAGCAGCGACAGAATACGACGGAGAAAGGCTTAGAAACTAGAAAATAATTTTAGTGCCACTACAGAGTACGTACGCGATTTTTCGCTGCAGCTTCACCACCGCGAATTTACGCGGAGGAGAAAAGTGTGCTCGATCAGCGGCGCGGGTCGGGACGTTATCAATGAAGGCTTTATATGACCGAGGAGTCATTTCCTCCACACGGCGTTGCTCCTTAAAATCGCGAACCGGCGTACCAAGGGCGTCATCAGAGGCGGGCGTGTGGTAATGTTTACCCAGCCGAACTGAGCTGAGAGGACGGTGTCTGGTCAGCGCTTCCGACGTCGTCCTCGTCCTGCCATACATCGTCTGCCCCCAACTCATTTCCCGTTTCCTCGTCCTCTACACTGCCCAATGTCTCGTTAGGCTGAGAAGAAACGCGAGACGGCGGTGTACCAGATACGCCGCGCACCGACCCGTCCTACCAAAGAAACGGCGTCACCACACACACTGACCGCGAAAACTGTGGCGCCATTTGCTTTCACCTGAACATTTTCGTTGGCCATGGCAACCGGATTGCCGGCGTTTGCATGTTGACCCGCTTGGACCACGTTTTGCGTCCCGAGAAAGGCAGACGGCAGCAAACGGTGAATGGCACCAACGACACTGTCCGACTTTGAACACAAAACTCAAACCAAAACACAATAAAATTAGCAAAAACGACAGCTTACTGATTTAGCAGTTTTGATAACATAAAACTGGTTGCCGCACACGTAGCCAAACGAATGTAAGCTGGCCTTATCGCGCCAGATGCGTCTGATTTCCGGTCCCGGGTGTGTAAATGCCTCCATCTACAACGTCAAACAATCGTGAAGATGTTATATTTATTATTATTAAAGTTATTCTACCCATCAGCAATTTATACAGTAATTCATACACATTTGACATAGCATAAACGAAGCAAAATACATATGCACGTTAACGTATCTCCACTGTACATACTAGTAGATCTGGATTCATAATTTCAGGCTCCTCACACTTTAAGCTTCCAGTCAAATTATTTTGAGGTCAATCTGGCTTCCAGCATTTGAGACGAAATACGAGTAAAAGCTTTATTTCCCATTTTAATGGTTAGATTTTGGTCGTGTATTTTTTAATTTTTTTAATATTGTTATTCAAGTACTTTCGATGAAGAAATTAAGCAAGTAACATACCATTTACCAATACATTAAATACAATGCAATATAAATACAATACGAAATATTTCTGAAGATGAACGATATACCTATTGTATTACTATTATTTCATTAAAAATCTTTTGTTTTCAATTGAAAAGGATCAGCTGATGACATGGCCGCGGAAAAACCCGGCAACGAAACACCCGACGCATTAAACACCACACCTACCTCGCCAGGATCTTCGAAAATGTGGATGCCGTTACGGGTTACAGTGATGGAAATCTTCGGCTGATGGTCTTCAGCTTTCATCTTTTCGCTATGTCCATCTAGCGCAGCGTCGTCCGTGGCCCCGTTCTTCAAGCGTACCACACCGACCAATCGCCCACCGAACTGAAACTCATCCATCGGCGAAACCACTGCAACCGAACAGAAACAGTCAGAGTTTGGTTCGCATCATCCCCGTACGCACGACTTCCAGCCACGCCGACGACGACCACGCTGACCTGCAGCACGCCGGTTGGAGTTCTCGCTGCCTTCACGACTGTTTAGAAGGGTAAGGGCGGAGTCATCTAACACTCGGCGACGTTTTTGGTTGGCCGTGGCGCCCCGCAGCACACCGGATGCCGTTCTGCTGGTACCCGCGCGTGGGGCTGCTTTCCGGCGCTGCGCCACGGGACTGGATGATAAGGATTCCATCTCCAGAGAGACAATAACCGTCTGTTTTGTGGGCGCGCGGCTGGGACCAGTTACCGGAGTTCCTCCCGCACCTGCGTAATCAAACCGACATTTTCAGCTTTTTTCCTGACTACACAACGTTGTAATGCTCTACCGGTAGCCGAAAACATAATTTCAGTATTTAAACAACATATCCCAAATTCTGGTGAGATGGGCAATACCAAACTGCATCGGTTATGAATGTATTTTTACTTTTTCAATACTTGGCATCTTTGCATTTGACCTAAAAGTTGAGCGTATAATAGATAATAGTTTTTACCGTATAATAAATGCCATGACTTTTTACAGCCGTTAATAAGCATGCGCTCTCGTTCGGCCGTTATCCATCAAATAAACCTATGTAATACTACTAATACTAGATAGAATATTATAATTTTATTGCGGCTGCTATAATTTCTTTTCATTAATATTTTCTAACTAACGTGTTCATTTTATATTTTATAGTCACCGTATTTATGTTTTACTTACGGAACGCATGAGCACACAATTACAGAGTAAGCAACAACAAGCTATAGCTGAAGTAGCCGTTGGTCACGGAGATCTAGAACTTTACTCATCAACCGGTTGTTTACCTGCTTGATTGCCATCGGCTGCACGTGAAACGGAACGGGACGGAGTCGGCAGCTCTTCAAACGAGGACTCCCGCTCGTCGGAAGAAATTGATGGAATTCCAGGAAGAGAAAGTTCCTCCTGCTGCTCAGCATCCGACACGCGAGCCTTTTCCGGAGCGAGGGCGCCGTCCTCCTTTTTCTTCAACTACATGCAATTTTTTATTACAGTAGTATTATTTTTAAATTTTTTTTCGAAACCAGAACTGCAGAAACGACAGCTCACCATCCACGCACGGAACTCCGTTTTATTGCCCTGCGGAAAACGGCTCCAGAAGATTTCTAAATGGCGCAATTGGAGCACGGGATCCGCGATTCCCACATCTTCGCGGGCCAATCTTTCTGGATTCGGCCGTCCGAAACTTTGACCAAATCGGCCGTCAGGCGGTAATGAGTGAGATCTTCCGGTCGTCTCGATCGTGTCTTTATCGTCTGGACAGCCTCCACGTATGGCTTCCAGTGGTTCTTCGCCCCCGCACCGGCATGCTCACGGCAGGTGACGAGCTCCGGAATACAAAGATCCTCACGACCATCGTATCCCAGATCAAAGATCTCCCGTGAGCCGCACCCATCACATTTCGGTCGGAAACGGCCGGTTTGCGCGCCGGCAGTGCTAGGGTTGGACGCCGGGCCCGTAGCGCATCCGTAGTAAAACGAAATTGCCGCATGGTGAGTGGTTGCAATGTGCGTTAGCACATGGCTGCAAATAAATTATTTTGGAAATCACACATCACATCATCTGAGAACGCGCTGCCAGCTCCTATTAAAATCAAATAAGATTTAAATTATTATCCCAGAATTAAGGTTTTAGTTGCAGAAAAAAGTTAATCGAGTAATTTTACCTGCTGAATTGAGCATTTGATTTTTAACTACAATGACATGACTTTTACGTAAAACTTTAATTTTGAATAATAATTTTATCGTTATCCAGATTAAACTAGTTTACTGATTTCTAAATTTTTATACATTTATAATAATAATAATAGTATTAGTAGACAGATATCCGTAGTTATTGAATAATTTAAAAAAAATTCAATAATCCACACGCCGAATCTAAGTTCCAGCTGCCGGCAACCGTACAAATCACATTAATTTTGTAACCCAAAATGCATCGGTATTTTTGTTCCATCTAATTTCTCACTGAAATATTTTCAGACAAAGTCGAGATCACACTGTACTTCACATAGAATTAGAATTTTGGAAATTTTCCAACAACAGTCAAGCGTACGAGTACCTGCGCGTCAGATTGTCACGGTTGCCGTTGCAGAAGTACTTTCCACACGCAGCCTCTTCACATAATATTAGGTATTCCTGGCCTGTGATTCCACAGTAGCTGTACAAAATCACGGCTGTCGTTAAAATGTGTTTAATTAAGAAATTAAGTGAGCCAGCATGTTCCTGCAATCTGTACAGTCAATCGACGATCGATATGATTGATATGCTCGATTACACCCACGTACCCACACTGTGGCCTCCGCGAGGTCATTTTGGCGGACGATAAGAGCGAAGCAGCAACACGTGTGGAATGGGGCAGGAGGAACAACGGCGGGCGGAAAGGAATTATTCCGTTGCCGAGCAAATCCTTATCAGACCGTTCTCCGCCACGTAGATCACTTCAGTGATCTGCAGCAGATCGCTCTCCGCCAGCAAATCAAAACTGTACAGAAATAACTTGTTGAAAGTTCATCATGTAAAAATAATGTATCATACCTAAACTCACATCAGAATAAACCAACAGAAATTGACACTGTATTTCGAAAATGTTCATTCTGAAAATCGCGATAGTGGCAACACCTCACGTTAGTCGCCGGTGGACTAGCACTTTTGCTCCATCCGGGTATCGCTGGCTTTACGCTGAATACCGGTAAGTGAATGGGGCTTATAAATGACCATTCCTAACGCTACCTAATGAATGGCGCTTGCGGATACGTCCGCATTCGATAGTCATCCATCCGATAGCAAATGTGATGTTTCCTCTTAATTTGTTCGTTGACGTTTTAGCCGACGTTGAAACGCGCCTTCTTATTGTTTGACAATTTCTTCTGTTCGCAAAAGGTAGATCTGTACAATTGTGCTTGCCGCAGTGAACAGAGTCAACGCTTGGTCAGTTTAAATTAAATTTAGTTCTGAAAAAATACTTTTAATTTATATAGGCGTGCCTTCTGAATTGTCATTTTTTAGAATACTTCGGACAGAAGACATTTCGACGGGTTCTTAAGTACAGGAAATGGAGTAATACAGTGTCGTTTTTAAGCTGTTGGCGCTACATTCTTACGCGTAAAAGAACGGAGTTACCACGGATTGGGCAATTAGGGCAATATTACAGAGAAAAATCAGAAATGCACGGCTTGTATAATGATAAAACTGTAAAAGTAACTTGTAGGCATAGGAGCAAGAATAAACAGCTAAGATTCCTCGGGAATCTATCTATTATTGGTCGAAGAGGTGACGGCTACTCCCACACTGTCTGACCAGCGCCCGCTTCCCTTGCCGGGTTGTATATAAAGCGGGAGCGCGGTCAAGACCATCGCATTAGACCATTTGCAAGCTGACGTTAAGGAAATTTTTGTTTTGAACTGCTGCCACAATCAAATAGTCCACGGACACTTTGATTCCGCAGCGTTATATTTGTGATCTTGTTAGTGCAGTGTACGCACTGTGTGACCTTTAACGTTTTCCCGTTCTCCGTACAACTTTTTGAATAACTCCTATTATCGTTCTCTTGTACTATCTTATAGATGGTTAGAGACAGATAAGTTTTTGGTTTCATCAATTAGTTGAATTGATATAAATTTTGAAGCACTGTCATAAGCTTTTGCTTACACAGTACAGTTACTTTTTGCTTGCATTTGTTTTTATTTTGGTTGATTAATATCGCCATGGCCCCAAGCAAGACTGCCCTTAAGAAACTCACTAAAGAAGAGCTGATGGACCATTGTCGCGGCCAAGAAGTGGATGACTCCGGCACCAAGAATGATATGCTGATTCGACTGTACGATCATTACGGTATGGAGAATTCACAGGGCTCTCACGACCGGTCTCCTTCAGTGGTGGAAGAACCAACTCCCGATCCTGATTCCGTTACCATCCTCGGGGAAACACTGCAGCTTGCTGAACAATCGGTCAACGAAATCCTCAATGCCGGATTTGCCACCGTCAAAAAATTGCGTCGACTGGCCCTGTGTCAGGATTTCCCGTCTAATCTGAAGTTCATCACCATGGACGCCGACCGCATGGAAGTGCAGTTGTTTATTGGGCCACGGCAGCAGCGCGCCAACACCGGCGATCTGCGTAGTGTCATCGACCAACGCAAGGCCAACAACACCGACCGGGCGGCTAGCAACTCATCGCGCAACAGTTCCCGTCGACGCTACCGTCCCAGCCGCAATCAACAACGCAGCGAATCCAACACCAGTGGAGGTAGGTCAAACAGTAACCAATCTCGTAGTTCAAAGTCATCCGTTCGTTCCCGCTCACAGTCAGTAGCCAAGCTTGCTAGTGTGGCTCGGAAACTTCCTCTGCCACACAAGCAAGCGGCGAAAATTTTAAATGAAAAGGGCAAACGTGTAAAACCGGATGCAACGCAGTTGACTTTTGATGACTTCTTGATATACAGCCTTAGAACCGCCGTGCGCCTAGCGCAAACGGTAACGGGCAAATATCAGAATGCGCTTGAAGTTTACCTTGAATACATTGAATTTCTTGTCGTGCGCCATCGGGACTACACCGACGAATCAGTTTTGGCTTTTGACGACGAATTTCGATTTAACGCGAATTATGAGAAATTCGATTTATGCGATACTCATAAACGCGCACTGTTATGTGATAAGCATTTTTACGCACGCAACCGCCGGCCTGCTCTAACTGTCATTAAAACAGGCAAAAAAGCGCAGCTTTTTCGCGGGTACGGCAACAGTTACAAAAGCCAGCAAAACGGGCAGCGGCGCTATCGCTTTTCCTGTTGTTTCTTCTGGCAAGAGAATAAATGTAACGCCAATATCTGCACCGGGTTTGCACATATCTGTGGGCACTGTGGCAGCGAAGGCCACCCAGCAAGCAGTTGCACTGCCGGCAATCAGCGAAACCGCGGGAACGGTTCACACTAAAGCCTCACCGCAAACACCTGCGCCTAATTATGTTGTTTTTGATAACGTTTCTCTATCTCTTGACGCCGATCTGATTTTGCGCTCCTCTCTTACTCGCAGCATTGAAAACTGGTCAAGAGAGCTTGAAGTAGACCACCCAGATAGCCTATTTTTGCTAACTGGACTCGCTCAGGGTTTCTCTCTCGTGCCGGATATTCACTCAGTGCCGCCGGCGGACTGTACAAATTACAAGAGCGCCCTATCTCCTGAGGCAAAACCCTTTCTAGACCGTCTTTTCTCCGAAGAATTGGCAACGGGTAGACTATCAAAACAAAGTCATAAACCGTTGCGAATTAATGCCATCGGTGCGGTTTCAAAGAAAGGCAGCACAGCCTTGCGCCCTATCACAGATTGCAGTCGCCCTCTTCACTGCAGCGTTAACTCCTTTATTGATGCCGAAGCATTCTCATTTCAGTCTCTCGAAGATGTAATTAGGCTAAGCAGTTCTGGTTGTTTTTACGCGGTGATAGACATCAAGTCTGCATACCGCTGGGTTCCAGTCAAACCGGAGCATCGTCAACTCCAAGGTTTCCGCTGGCAGTTCCCAAACGAATCGGAGAGTTTTTATGTAGATAACTTTCTTTGTTTTGGGCTTTCAAACGCTCCATCAATTTTTCATAAAATTTCAACGGCCATCTGCCGCATGATGCGGCGCCGTAAATTCGCTATCGTCGCTTATTTAGACGATTTTATAGTAATTGGGGAAACTTATGAAATTTGCTTATGCGCCCAAAACGAATTAATTTCTCTTTTATGTTCTCTGGGTTTCATGGTAAAATGGGATAAAATAATAGGCCCCGCGCAACGAGTGACCTTTCTTGGTATCGTGGTCGATTCATTGCTGGGCCGGTTAGAATTACCTGTAGAGAAACTAATTTCGCTTTTCAAATTATGCGACACAATTTCTGCGCGTAATAAAGTTACCAAGAAGGAACTCCAAATTATTACTGGACACATGTCATTTGCGTCTAAAGTGATCTACGGAGCCAGGACTTTCACGCGCATTTTTATTGATATTTTGTCAAAACTAAAACTTTCCACTCATCGTGTCCGAGTAAGTCAGTTAATGTTAAGCGAACTGGAGTGGTGGAAAACTTTTGCCGGCTCACTGAATGGCATTATTTCTACACCCATGAGCCAGCCTCGCAGTGTTGCTTATATCGCAACCGATGCATCCTTTCAAGGATTTGGCGCAGTTTACGCCGGTACCTGGATAGCAGGTCGCTGGGATGTCTCAGTCAAGGCACCAGCCGGGTTTCACTCCAACTGGGTGCCAACGCCAGTGGTCAGTGCACAGCTTAAACGCAATATTAATTTTTTAGAATTAATCGCGTCATGCCTACCACTACTAATTTTTGCCGAGCAGTTGGCCAACCAGAAAGTCATTGTTCAATCTGATAACACTCAGACGGTCGCCTTCTTAAATCGTGGTACAACCAAAAATTTAGAAGCGCTGAAATGGCTGAAAGCTGTACTTAAATGCAGCATTCGGCATAACTTCCGCTGGCAAGCAATACATGCAGCCGGTGTGACCAACGTGCTAGCTGACTCATTGAGTCGGTTATCCCAGAGTGAATCATACACCAATAAATTTCTAAGCGATTGGCAAAGGCCTTTTCCAGGCGATAAATTACCGAACAATTTTCGTTTTAGTTACCCTAACACACAAACTGGAAAGGAAATTGAGGAATTTGCAGCTTTCAGCTATGGCGAAATCTTCCTGGAAAACCAGGGAAACCCAGTGGGCACGGTTTGAAACGTTCTGTCATTCGTTTCGATTGCGGGCGTGTCCAGCAACGGAGCACACTGTTAGCCTTTATATAGCTTACCTCAGCAAAGACTTAGAATATAATACTATCCTTAGTTATGTCTCATCCTTAACTTCATTCCATCATTATCGGGGATATGCCGGCCCAAACCTTTCTCACTACAAGGTTAAGCTAGCACTTGCAGGCGTGAAACGCCAATGCCAAGAGCGCCCACATAAACGGCGCCCTATCTTACCCACGGATTTAATAATAATTAAAAATAACCTGCATGCCGTACCGAGCAGATACAGGAAGACGTTTTGGGCGGCATGCCTTACAGCGTTCTTCTCCCTTGCTCGCAGTTCATGCCTTTTTAAATCACTCAGCAACAAGCATCTGCGTGTGAAAGACATCCAGTTCACCGATACTGGTGCTACATTGCAACTTGCCGTACTTAAAACTAATCGGTTTAAGAAAAGTAAGGTCGAGATTCCCTTACCACGGCTAACCGTTAATCCCTTATGTCCGGTAGCAGCACTTCGGTCAATGGTGGCCGCCTCCAAGGCCAAACCGACAGATGCACTGTTCAGTTACCGGGTTGGGGCCTGCGTAAAACCCTTATATGCTTTTAGATTCAACCAATTACTACGAACAGCAATTCAATCAGCCGGCTATCCCACCCATGCCATTTCCACTCATTCGTTTCGCCGCGGCGCCGCAACCTATGCCGCGACCATGGATGTTCCAACAGCACTACTGAAATGCCAAGGGAACTGGAGAAGCGACTGCGTCCACGCATATACGGATACCGACTTCGAAAAGCGGCAGCAATTTAACCTTCACATGGCGGAATCCATGAGACAAGCCTTCGCTAAGTAGCTTTCCCTTTTGATGGGTTTCTTTTGCCTTCTGTGTTTGTTTTTGTTTTTGTTTGGTGTGTTTGGCGTGTAGACCGCTTCGCGTCCGTTTGTTTGGTATGAATTGCCCTGAATAAACTCCGAATTTGTTGGGTAGTACCTTGACCACAATAATAGCTAAGATTCCTCGGGAATCTATCTATTATTGGTCGAAGAGGTGACGGCTACTCCCACACTGTCTGACCAGCGCCCGCTTCCCTTGCCGGGTTGTATATAAAGCGGGAGCGCGGTCAAGACCATCGCATTAGACCATTTGCAAGCTGACGTTAAGGAAATTTTTGTTTTTGTTTTTTTTTTGTTTTAACGTGTAGACCGCTTCGCGTCCGTTTGTTTGGTATGAATTGCCCTGAATAAACTCCGAATTTGTTGGGTAGTACCTTGACCACAATAATGTCGAGATGTTACTCTCCGTCCATGAAGGTAGTGCCGAGCGCGGAGTGCGATGCATACCTTGTACGTATAATAATGTCTACGAGTATATTGCTGTGCAGCTCAATGTTATTACGTAAAACTTTAAAAAATATTATTTTAGAAAAGATGGTACATGGATGATATTGCGTTTAACGAGTAGCGATGGTTTCGAGGAACCGGAAATGATCAAAGTGCTGTAGACATTGCTGCTGTTAGCATGTCAATCCGCCAAGCAAATCGGGCGTTTTGTGGTGACTGCGCAGAAACAACAACAATAATCCAAACCTGGTAAAACGACAAGGAGGCAAGAACGATTCTTAAGAAGCTCGGTACGAGCAGCAAATAGCGGTTTCTAATCCGTGTTTGTTGGTTGTATTCTACAGCATTGCGGTGATAGGTGGCGTGGATGCGGGTAAGTAACCTTTCTCGGTGTCCTAGCTGACGCATTGACAACTGGAAAACGGCCGTCGTTTAGTTTGACTTGAGTTCCATATTGCGCTATAAGCACGAACAGGGATAGGGGCGCACGAGCCGCGCACTTGTACCAGGACAAGACAGTCCGCATTTTTGGTAGATGGAAATGCGAAAAAAAGCAGGCCATAAATTACGGAGACCAGTTGGAATTTTTGCCTGGTGCAAGATTTTTCGCATGAATTTAATGTTGAAATTCCTGGGATGCTTCAAGGATCACTACCGATCACTTCGGCAGTTTTCATTTCGGCCGCGTTCATTTCGGCTAAAGTTTTCGGCCAATCACTTCGGCCACAGTACATTTCGGGCAACACTCATTTTGGTTTAATTTGTAGACAACGTTAACTTCGTTGTAACTTTGGCAGCTATTTAAATTCAAGAAAGTGTTAGAAAATGACCTTGTACTGATATCAGTCCTGGAAAAATTGAAAATGGTACAGGACTAAGAAAAACAATCATTATTAAAGATTAGCAATTCAAAACAGACAGAGGGAAACCTCCGGAAGTGGCTCAAAACGATTGTTATGCGCCCAACCCAAAGACATTTAAGAAACCGTAGGCGGTTGCAAGGAGCCTACCGTCACAAGAGCGAAGGTTAATGATTCCAAAAACATTTCAGAAAACTAAAAGAACCTGGGAAAGCCCAAAGAATTCTGAGACAATTTAAAACAAATTTAGAAAATTAAAGAACCTTAAGAAAGCCTAAGAAGCCCAGGAAACCTAAACAAAAATTAATAATAATTACAAAAACTAAGAAACTACGAAAACCCAAGCAAGCCTAAGATACCTAAGAAAAACCTAAGAAAACCTAGGAAACACAACAAAAATTTGGAAATGCAACAAAAACTAGAAAACACAAAATCTAGGAAAACGTGAAAAATTGAAGATGGCTAAATGTGCTGGCGGTGGCCGAAATGAGTGTTGGCCGAAGTGAGCCTCGGCCGAAATGAGCGTTGGCCGAAGTGATCGTATACGGCCGAAGTGATCGGACGCGGCTTCAAGGAGCCTTGTCCGTAATCGTATCACTACCGTGCAGTCGATGAATGCATAATAATTGCAGCGCCCAGCGATATACGCTTACTCCTACAGAAAATTCAAATTACTCCTTAATTTAATTTTGATTAAAGGTGTGCTGATGCCTTTGCATTGCTATTTCTTGACTTTTTCTTTAAATTTGTAAGCAGGGTTCTGTAGGCGCTGATAATTCACATGTTCCACATTAATTGGTGAATTTAAAGTTTTAAGGCAGATTATTTTATTCAACGGTATAAATGTTAGTAATTGTAAGTTTTTTCTGTTTCAAAAACATGATCAAACGGTAGAAAAGCCATAAATTTGTCGATGTGCCGAGATCGGGCATTTGAGGACGCGTAGCTGAGTGCAATGCGCTGGCCAATGCGGCTACATCAAAGAACGGATATAGCGAACATTTGAGGACACACGCGCGTTCAGTTGCCCTGTAACTGCACTGTATGCACCTGCCTATCGCTGAATGAAGGCAGCCTGTAGTGAATGAGTCAGGCATCTTGTTCGGCGAGATTGTACGAGTACTTACAGTGCGGTCGCTGCAGCAAAACCGTAAGAGTTATTTCCAGTTTAATGATGTTGCGGGAAGAAAGCATCAGTGGTTCACTGAATCCCGTTTTAGACTTTGATAAACCGTCGATTGTTGAACTCGTGAATGTCCAGTAATCTATTGTAAGTTTGTTACGGCAATGTATCATGTATAATATGCGTGGAACGTTGTGGATGTGGAGATGGACGGTGTGCTGCAGCATATGGCCACATTGTGGGCCTCCAGAAGAAGTCACAGAGCGTCAGCGACATTGTACTGTACGCTAGCGTCCCGTCTGATCGTAGATTTCGGATGCCCTAAACAGACGGAAGGTCTTTGACTGCTCCCTTGATCGCAACAGCAGCGCGCGCGCGTTGGAATCGATGTCGAGGTGCTGCTGCACGCAGGACAGAATCTCCTGTGGAAATACCGATTCCTTGGTTTAAGGGCTGAGATTCAATTGAGCGCTGTTGGTGGATCTGATAACAGGCGGGCAGCGTCGTCGCGAACGGATTCCCAGCCGACAGATTCGCGATTCGGTGGAAAAGATACTTACAGACTCCTTACCGCGGACCATTTCGTCATGCAAACCTGCAGTGTGCTAGACTACGAATCAGTCTGCATTGTCGCTGCTGCCCGAGACGCTGAACCTATCTCTAGCTGCAATTTGCCAAGATTTTCAGTCAGGATATGTACTGTGTGCGACGGCGCCAGGTGCTGCCATGATGGGATGAAGATGTGGTAAATACATGCTGTTGTTGAACCATGTTTCTTCTTGAAGCACATGCCGTATTAAAGCGTAATCGTGTTTTGCTTCGTCTCACTAGTCACTACAGACGCAGGTGTTCGAAAAGCACAGACAGTCCGATGAGTTTGACCATCAGCTGCTTTTGAGAAGCCCGAAGAGTCGGACGCTGATTGTGAGTCGAAACGCGAAAAGCCGTAGAGTGTCGATGAAAGCGGTGTGACGCTGCCACTGGAAGGGTTGGAGGAGGTTTTCCACTCGCTGTAAAGTGGACACCGTGGATCGACAGCGCTGCTGTAGTGCCTGTCATATGCATGATGCCGTTATCAAGTCGCCCGATACGTGCACAGATGTTGTTGTATCGCTGGATCCATGCAGCTGGTCAGAGAGTTGTAATACCCTACGCTTGTCTGCCTCGTCAAGCACATCACGCCCGCCACTCGCACGGTCTGCAGCCGCTATACTGGTACGGCTTTTCTGAGCCGAGTTACCCAGAATTTGATGGTTAGAGTGCTGGGTTTTGCACGATCAAGAAGATTTTGCACGACGCTGCCCTGCGAATTGACCGTTTCATCATGTACCAGCGATCGCTGGATTTCGCAGCGTTGGTATGATCTTGCGAAATCGCCAATGGAAATTGAGCGAACCTTTCGCCGTATGATCCCTGCGCAGCTATCCACCCTCTTGTCCAGCTGGCCGTAACCGTTTGATCGGGAGCCAGGATGGCTGCCGATGGCCTCCCCTCGCTGCCCACGACGGCGCCCTGCTCACCGCTATCCAGTCCCATGTACGCAGGTTGCGCGCTCCTTGATCATCATCATGTTGCGGTTGCACATTGGCGCGTACTCTGTCGACAGGAACTGCGCGGTAAATTCATTGGCATTTGTGGATTTTTCGCGGGCAAGCGCACATTGTTTCCTTCGCCGATCGTAATAAACAGGTTGGGGATGATATTTCGACCTTTTAATCAAAACTTGACAGAAAACTTTGTTGAATTGACAAATCTGATCTCTTATTACTGAATGAGGTAGTTACTTCGATTAAAACAAACAGAATATTCTGTAAAAATAAATCCAGTTTCTTAGAATTAATTTGAATACTAAAATGAAATTATTAATCAACAGAATTCACTTGTACAAGCCTAGTGGTGATGTTTTTACTCTGGCGTAGATCAGCCGCGGTGTTGACGCAACGTCCGGTCAAATCCGTAAAAACGGCCGCCCGCAATTTGGCAGTTCTCCACCAGCTCAAATCCAAGAGCACGCGCCCGGTTTGCCAGTGTATTATCGTGGCGGAAACCTTCGAGAAAATCCGTACAGGTGTGTTTGAAAATCAGGACGAATTAACAATTACAGAATTTTACGGAAACTGGTCTTGCGCACTGAATGTATTGTTACGAAAAAGCAGATGAACGGTTGACAGTTTTCTGTGCAAAACGGATGTGGATAACTTCCTGTCTAGTTTGAAAAATTTGGTAATTCGCCGCTGTGCAGCTATGTTGGAATTCAGTAAAGAAAGCATTTCGGAATTGAATTAGTCCGCCCGCATACGGAATTCTTCGTATTTTAAAAATTGGTAAATTGGAAAATTTTTGTTTGTTCTACCCATTTTGAAAGGTGAAATTTAAATGCAATCGTGATTTTATAATTTCTTGTCAGATACAGAGTGAAACGACATTCCACACGTGCAAGTTGGTGCAACACAGCTGTTTGGCATACGGAATCAGTTTGCAGGCAGCATCCATAGCCGAAGATCGCGCGCGATAACCAGAACGATTTTATTAGTTAACGGTTCAGGGATTTTGTACTACTGCTGTGAATTATTCGGTCGCGGAAATTCTCAATACATTCCAGGTATTCTCCAGCGTCCCATTTTCGTTTTCTCGGGTGTAATATGCTTGTGTATATAAAAACTGGCTATTTTAAAATTAAAAGTTTACGGCTTCTATAGACACAGAATTTTTTGTTTATAAAAAATAAAAGCACTCTTAAATTTTCAAAACAAATTTCAAATCTACGGTTCACAATCAAATTACAACTGTTAGAATTGCTGTTAAAATTTCAAATAGTACAAAGTAATTATTTTCAAACTGCATACATTTTTTAAATTTAGAAATTAGAAGTATGCTGAGCGTTCAAATTCAAACCGAATATGTGCATTTTATTGCAGATAGTTGTGTCTCGTCACTCTTCCAAGCACCCGCCTTAACAAACGAGTAAGGTCCCGGTGAGATCAAGCCCTTGCCCACGGTGACCACGGCCACTGAGATCCGCTCCCCGTCACGCTGACCATCCACTGCGCACCTCACCCAGTCTCACCCAGTCGCCGCTGCTGAACGCGTAGGAAGCGGCATCCCGCCGGCCGTCCATCGGCATGGTGTGGTCCTTTCTGACCAATCGCTCCAAAGGTGAAACACCCGGTCCACCATCGCCCGCACCCGCGCCCCGTTCAGTGCAAGCAGTATCCGGACCGGGTGGTAAGCCAGCGTTCATCCTAGTGGATACAGACCAGGAAAAGACGGTGGCTATTCACCGAACGTGTAGTCGACGACGGCATCAGACTGCTACCGGTTGGCAGTGCGGAAAGCAAACACAAATTCTGGTATTAACGTCGATACTTTTAGATTTAAATAGACAGCAATTATAAAATGTCCGCTTGCAGCAGCACCGACAGCACCACATCGGATGCCTCGCAATCCTTTTGGTGATCACAACGTGGCCTTTACCGGACGAAGGCCTCATCGGGATCATTTCGCATGCGCAAGCGAAGCAAAACCGAAACAGGTAATGCCGGCGTGCCACGGCTGTTAATCCAATACTAACAGGATGATTTCCAGATGATGATGTGTAGTTTACAGTACGATTGCCAATATGATTGTCAGACAGTGTGATTTTCAAAATTTTTGCCCAATTTATGTGTCTGTCTTGCTCTAGAAAATGTAATTTACAATTTTTCTAGGCAGACTGGGAACACGTTGTTGATCCAGTAGGACGCGCAAGAGTCTGTGCGGGTGCTGGCCGTGCAGTCGGCCGAGCAGTCATCGTCCGCGAAGGACCCTCTTCGAGGCCATGCTGGTGCTGCGGGAAAGGGCTCGTACCGAAACCCCATGTACCGCTTCCTCTTCGGCAACCGTTGCAACGGGCACGTGGACTATCGCTGGAAGCTCTTCTCCATCCTGCTTGGCGACACACCGACGCAGTGGCGGACGAAGGAGTTGCGGATGTTCGAGGGCGGCCCGATGTGGATGCCGCCGCCGTTGAAGCCGTACACGGCTGGGATGCCGGAGCATCTGGTGCGGCATGCGGGCGAAGAGCGGTATGTCAGGGAGAACGAGGGCGACGCAAGAAACCCGTGATGGAGGAGCCCGTGCCGGTCAGCACTGGCATGAGTGATGAGTAAGCAGGATGTGCACTATTTAGTATTTAAATGAATAACGAATTTATTATTTTTGTATGAGAACAGAATTACGCAGTGGCTATTTGGTTTATAATTTATTATTAACTTCCAGGCGCTGTGCATTTGGTCCGGTGACAGTGTGGTCGATGTTTGTTTTGATTATTACGTAGGGTAGTGTTTTTAGTACTACTTGAATAGTTCGCTCAGTTCGATTAGTTGAATATTTCTGCTGAGTACACTGTGTGTTCACTGCCTCATTCTGTTGGAATTTTCATCGAAAAAATGAGCGCTTTTAGTCATTTCTAGTTGAGTATACTTCTATTTTTATTAGTTCTCGAAATATTTTGTCAATTGGAAAAGTTTCCATGTTTCCGTAGATGCCAGAAAACTGCATTCTGATTTCTGTAAAATTACACCAAAAATAATTTTAATCTTACGTTTATGAACGGAAAGAATTCGGAAAAATCTTTAAATGATTAATTTGTGCGATCCATGTGTTCATGACGGTTGCGTGGGGTTAGGTGGCCAAGTTGATTTTGGTATCCGACATCCTCCACAACAGCAGCAGTGGACACGTGCAGAATGCCGGGTACTACAGGAATGGGTAAGAGACAGGTAGCTGTGGCGTAAGATGTAAATACCTTTTTAATTGTGATCGTGATTGTGGGGATTTTACCGCTTTTTGCGGATTCTTGAAAACAGTCGAAAATTCTTGTTGCGTTAACGGAAGCTGTCAGTTGCAGATTGTTTGTTTCAGGCAATTTTGCAATTTCAGTATTTTTGTTTTGAATTCTTAAGTGATTCCGTTACGGTCAATATTGTGTAAATCCTGGCGCTGACGTTTTGTCGTAGCTACGAGTGATGAACTGCTTCCGCGCATGGGAAGACGGGGCGTTGTATCCCCCCAAATACCTGATCAAACTGCAGAACGTCTTCCTGGGTTTGGAGCCGGGCGATGGGTACCCGTTTATCTGACCGCCTTCCCGTCCGCCACAATCTGTTGCCCAGCTTCATGGATGCCGATGTGGATGGTGTACCCAGTAAGTTGATTCAGTGCTAATGATAAAATGGATACATAATACTTTTAGATCGCATACAGATAGTTCCTAAATATTTCCTGTGGCTGTGTGTGTGTTTTACACTCCTCGATCAGTCACGTTGTCCTCATTGCAGTTTATTGGCAATTTGGCATCGCTTTTTAATTTTTATTACGTCCCGTTATTTTGATTTAATCAGTGCTTTTACCGGAGTCCAGCGAGAATTCTTAGATCAAAATGTTTTCAGAAAAGTATCTGGATCGAAATTTGTTATGATTTTCTGTACATGCAGAATTTATGTCGGTATGCGGCCGCCGGCATCGCCTGCCGTTTGGTAGTATTCGATTGGAGTAACTCGCCCTTTATTATTTTCTGCAGTTGATGAAGATGTCGACGGAGCGCCCTTGGAAGAACCGGCTGCCACCGAGACGAAACCGGCCCCGTCGAGATGTGAGACCGCGCATCCCGAACAAGTGAACGCCCAAGGCATGCGCAATTTGAAAAATAACCTTTTATTTATTCAGTAATAATTAATTGAATAGTTAATTAACAAATAACGTTATGCTATTTATTGTGTAACATTCCTATTTATAATCATTATATGTCTGAAACTATTAACTGGAAACATTCAGTTTAAATATTAGTATCGTAATATTATTTGAAATCACATGATTTCCGTTAGATTTCTTATTTAAATATTACGTATGGATTTGTTTGTTTGGAAATGCGTTACCGAATGATGAATTTGGCAGGGAAATAATTATCGTTTAGACAACGTAATTGCTTTGATAGTTTGAAAGTACAATGAAATCAAGCGTTGACAGTTATCAGTTGTGTTGCTGCATTATTTAAAGTTTCGTTGCAGCCATCACGACAAGCAAATGGCATCGTGTGGAAGGCGCCGGTGGTGCTCCGAAGGAATCCGAATCATCTGCAGCCATCCAGGCGAAAAAACTGGACGACGAAATCAGAGAATAACTGCGAGAAATTGAGGCACGACCGGAAATTATGTTGTTATTCTTTTTTACATGCAAGTCGCCGTTGCATTTATCAGTTTGTTTCTGCTCAGTTTTTTACCCACGTTGGCGAATAGCATTTTTAATTTGTTTATCAGTCTGTTAATCGCATTGGCATGCTACGACACAATCTATCTCCCATAACGTAAAATTTTTGTAGCCCTTGTTTTATGCCTTAAATAAATTAACAAGTACATCGCATTTTTTTCTGCCGTGTTCTGAATTGTAGCTGTTCTCCATTAATTTTTTGATCATTTGATAGATGCGCGTGACGACCTATCAGGACGAGCGGGAGAGCGGCTAACGGAAGCGCATCGTCAGCGGGTGGATGAGCAGCCAGGAAGTGCCGGATGAGAAGCACCTCGGCTGGGAAGGACACCAGCAGCAGCAGCAGTCGGCACCGTGAGAAACACACCTCCCGATCACGATCCCCGCCACCGAGTTCGTCGAGAACGCGCGAACCCGACCGCAAGCACGGAAGCGCCACCGCGGCCAGCACATCCAGTCGGGATCGGAGGATTCGCGGGGCGCCGAGCGGCGGAATCGGTCCCGCGACCGTAACCGGCGGCATCACTGAGAGTGTGATCGGACGATGGAGAGGAATCGTTTTCCTTGGGTTATGACGATCTTTATTTTTTGTATGGAATTGTTTTGGGTTTCTGTGTTTTTGCTGTGTGTTGATTAGGGGCTTTCCCTGTTTTGGGATTTGCTGTGTGCCGCAGTTTGCTGTATGTTTCATGTTAAATTGTTAATGCCGTCTTAGTCGTTTATTGCCAATTAGACTGATCAGTCTGGTGGGAATTTGAAAACCCAAAGTTCTGTAGTTTTGGTCATGTAAAATCTGCTAGCCTGTCCGAATCATCTTGGCAGACTTGGCTTTAGCGGAAAAGTCGGAGTTGTACGTTAATATCGGAATAAACGGTAGAGGTAGTTACAGTTGAAAAGGTTAGTTATTCTGGTCGTAAGTGAAAACTGATTTGGCAAACGTTGCCTTCTGATAACTGAAAAAATACTTTTAAAAGTTTTGGGTCGAGTCGGTTAAGATTTAGCGACCGCACTACAGCTAGCCACGTCAGAACTTACTGGCAGTTACCTTTGAAATTGTAGAATATTGTGGTATTTTCCTAAAAATTCCATTCGGGAGCTTGGAATTAGCTATAACATATCATTGCAGTCTCAGTTTGTAAGTATTGCACCATATGAATTTCCTTTAAAGTTAAATTATCGTACGTGAGAAATAAGGACAGTGCTCACCTTTTCGCGCACCATATGCAACCATAAAGTAATCAATCATTATCTGCCGTCAATATGAAAGGAAAGACTTCCAAGGACCTGGGCTGGAAAATTGCCGGGTGCTGCTGATAAAATGCTTTAACACAATTTACAACCGCTTCATAAGCGAGCGTACATGGCCTGCGCTGAAAGTCTGAATCTGAATCTGATTCTGAATGCTAAAAGTCTGATTCTGAATGCTAAAAGTCTGAGTCTGAATGCTTAAAGTCTGATTCTAATTACTGGAACTCTGAATCTGAATACCAAAACTCTGAATCCGAATACTAAAACTCTGAATCTGAATAATAAAACTCTGAGTCTGGCCGGTGATGACCGATAACAGCTATCCAAAATATTATTAGACGATGTGATTTCCGAACTACTTGTAAACCGTACAGTACTTGTAAACCGTACATACAGTACTGTAAAACATTACAGTAAAACCTTCCTGATACGTACACTCTTGTGTACGTACACCCTCCGAGACCGGAAGCGTGCTTCGCAGAATAAAAAGAACAACTAAGTTAAAAGGCTTCTTCGGTATTTTACCGGTCATAGTTAACATGCGTTTTAAATAATCTCTCATCGACTCCCAGGTGGCGTCTTCCAAGATGTAGGGTAGTTAATTATGCCAGTTGAAATAACTGGAAAAAATGGAATCCGAATACGGTTTTACGCCTAAACCGGTTTAGCATGTCCGGTAGGACTGCTGGTGAGAAAGCGCAGATATTGAACACAGAAAAGTAACAGGTTGTCAGGAACAACCTCAACTTTTTTCCGCAAGCAAACTTTTGATTATCTATATAAAACATTTCAACGGGTAGAAAAAAAACTACTGAAACACAACGTATTACGTAACCTTAAATAAAGTCGTTCGGAAAGGTGTTTTGAGCAACCGATAACTAATTGTTGGTACTTGGCAGCTTATAGTCCCACCGGGCGCCGTATTGCGGTTTACAAGTACAGAGTAGTTCGGAAATCACACCGTCTAATAATATTTTTATATAGCTGTTATCGGTCATCACCGGCCAGACTCAGAGTTTTATTATTCAGATTCAGAGTTTTAATATTCGGATTCAGAGTTTTGGTATTCAGATTCAGAGTTCCAGTAATCAGAATCAGACTTTAAGCATTCAGACTCAGACTTTTAGCATTCAGAATCAGATTCAGATTCAGACTTTCAGCGCAGGCCAGCGTACATGACAGGAATATCGTTACATATTATTGTAATACGAGTATCCATCAGCCGGCATGTACAGGCAGATACTGTGCCAGATTTAAAGGCGGCATACGTTTTATCCACTAACACACTAAAGGACACTTCCGAGCAAGAACCAGCAGGAATACCGCATTTGATTTTTCCTTCACAAACGTGGTGGCAACACAGCTTAAAATATTTTATCGAAATAACAAAATTTGATTTAATGCGGCCGCTCCTTTCATTGTCCCGAGCATGGGCGCACGGAAGCAGCGTTTCCTCGCTGAATTTCCAGCGACAGTCGTTGACGGAGATGCCGATATGCCGCATCGTATATCGGCATCATGGCATCGTATGTCGGTATCATCGACTTCTGGCTGTCGGTGAATGCCACCGTTTTACGGTTATTTACAGCGTGTGTATGGCAAGAGGTTGGAAGACTCAGAACTGCGAAACCAGACATAACACAGCTTCCACCATTTCGGACCGGCATGAGCCAGTATTTCTGTATTGCACAAAATTATTTAGGCGATCGTGGTACCCTGGTCATTTTTGCAAGGCTGCAACGTAACTTCCCGGTGTGCCAGGAATCCGTTAATCAGCGCTAATCCGCAAGGCGTTAATCCGCGTTTCCCGTAGTCTTAACTGATTACAACATGGATCGAGATACTTCCACAGTTTCACAGGTTGAATCGAGTCTCTTCTCGAGTTGCAGTCTAGAATTTTCTTAATAATGCAAAATTATGCATTTATAACAGTATCGATTGGCAATGAATTACAGTTTATATTACTGAGACGAAAATATGTGTCTATATGTACAGAGCACTTATGTGAATCCTGTACAAACGATTTTGTAACTGCTAGAGTAGTATCGAATCCTTCACTAACGCCGCGCAAAATCGGGCGTGAGCTATCGAAAAGAATTTAATGTGCTGTATCTGCCGTTTTTCTTGTTGCGATACATCAAATACATTAAAATGCCAAATAAACGGAAATCGATACATCAAATAAACGGAAATTCGGTTTACGTTTAATACAACTACTATACCTAGTCCGATAGCGTCGATACGATACGATTTAGGAAATCACAATAGCCACCCATTTTCACCCCCGTTTTTTATAGCCACCAATAAAGGCCCACCATTTCTCGCACCCTGCTTTCTACGGGCAACATTTTTGCTATTAATTAAGGTAATTGCAATGCGCCGTGACAAACGGGCGCATAGATTTTGGCTATGCGCCCCGGTGTTCGGGCGCTTATTATTTGGCTTTGCGCCCCGAATTTCCGGGCGCAGAAACATCGTCTGTTTTCGGACAACTATTTTCTTTTCGTTTGAGATTTTACTTGGTCAACGACTTAATCTAGAAGATTACAAAATCAGTATACTACGAGTATCAAAGTTTCAGAATTAGAGACAGTGGTCAGCAGGCCAGAACAAGCGGCAGCAAGTGGCGTTTTC